GGATACCGGGGCGGGCAGGAGAGCGACTGGGTGTCTCGTCTAGGACAGGACCTCGTGGCCTTGAACATGGGAGACGAAAAGAAGGGAGGAAATGGAAAGAGAGCGCCATGGACCCGGAGGTGTGGTACTACAAGGTCGAGGACGGGTCGGCATGGCTCATGAGGAAATGGCACAGGCAGGAGGCGGAAGCGTCCGCGAAGCGCCAGCGCGCGAGGGAAGCAGAAGCAGAGAGTACGGCCATCTCAGGACCGAAGAGAAAGAGAGCCGGGGAAGCGGCGGTGGGGGGGAAGAAACGGCGACCGGGCACTGCTGTAGAAGCGAGTAGGGCGGCCGAGGCAGCACTTGTGGCGAATTATGTACCCGGCTGATGTTGTTGCGCCCTGTTTCCCTCCCTGCTGTGTGCTTTACTCCTTTATGTATGTCCTTTGTATTGCCTTCGGCCTCTGTGCTGTGTTTCTTTTTTTCATGTCCTCCCTGCCTAAACTGCTCTGATGGGTACCTTGATCTCGCTTTTGCTGTTGCTTTTGTTTTTTGTACATCTGGCTGTCTGCCCATCTGCCGCCTCTTTGTCCTGTTTGCTCCGATACTCCCATGCCCTGGTGCGTAGTGCCTGGTGCTGGTACGTTACCCTTTGATTTTTTCTTTGGGCGGATGTGGCAAGCGTCCTCCTTTATTTTTGTTTTACTTTGATCGGTTTCCGAGGGCTCTTTTCTCGAACGGTCGGTGCGGTACCTGTTATATATTTTTTTCATTTTGTTTTCTTTTTTCTGAGTGGTTGGTACCCTGTTTGTGTTTTGTTTCCTCGCGGCTTCGTATGTGCCGGGTTGTGAGACCCCGGCCCCCCATTTTTTGTGGACTGTAGAGCAAATGTGAGAAACAACAACAACCATATACGATAAAACCGATGCTTCCTTTCACCTGCAGTGTCTCTAGGATGATAGGGGTACTTCGTCCAGCCATGGTGAGGAGCTTTATGGCGATAACGAGCATAGGGAAGCAGCCCACACCGCTCAACGCCGCGGCTTGTATCCACAGATTCCTCTTGGCCTTGGAATAGAAAGTCCTCGACGAAGGTGAACCCTGGCTCGGAGGAGACACGAAAATATTTGTAAACGCACTCTTGCAGTAACAAGAAAGATGGACGCCAACTTTTCGCATACAGTGTCGATCTGTCAAACAGATTTCCACTTGTGTTAGGGAGAGGGTGGCATTCTTTCGTGGAACGTGTCCTGTCCTTGCGCATGCATGGTGATTGCGGGGCCATCAATTCACAGTGGAATGTGTTCCCGGCACTACCCTAGGTCCATGCGTAGCGAGATCGTTAGAACGCAAGCTTGGAAACGACTTACAGGCCTTCCGATCTCTTTGGAGGTGGCTTGGTTGATGACCGCCGTTATTCTTGAAGCCACGAAGAAGACGACCAATTCCTGGTCGAGACGGCGAGACACCAGACGAGTTTCAGGAAATTTCAGGTCTGAGATGGAAATGCGATCAATCTGAACCGTCATAGGTTGTTTGTTTGGCTGTGAGCATCACCCCGCTAGAATGACTGTTGCCACTCTGGTGTTGGCGGTTTCCAGCTTTGCGTGGTGATGGTCACGGACACAGGTCTCCACGGTCGCAGAGATCCTTCCTCTAGTGAGTCATGTGCCCGAGACGTCAAAATAGATATACCGGGTTGCTGCGCAACGCGGAACGATGCACAAAGTCAACAAACCATGATATATCAGCAGTGATACGCCAAGATATTCCACGACACCTCACCGCGGTAAGGATGCCGCCGACAACAAAAATGTCGGCCGCCTGCTGGGGCCAAGTCCGAGCGAAGAACGTCATCACGCCAAGCAACGATACAAGCCCTCCGTTGGCAACTCCGATGACCACGAAGAGGCTGCTCGTTTCCGATGCGTTTCTCAGCTTTCCCGCAAAACTGTCGGGAGTGAGTATCTGCGAAGGCAAGCTCTCCACCCAATATTCGGCTATCATTGCAACCTCGAACATAGCACATGGCCGCAAAAGTATGTATGCGACTTGAAGTGGGCCGTCATCGTGGTAGCCTATGTCGCCCGCCCGGACTGCTAATCCGATAGCCATCCACCCAAACCCGAAGGCGTATAGGCTGATGGACGCAAACGTGGGGAATGGCGGTAGGCAGGCGGAGATGATGGGGCGATTGATGAATGGAACGTTTTGAAGAATTATGTACTGTGGTTTCAGTGCACTTGTAAAGACCGCCCGGGAAAATGAACTTCTCTTCTCGAGGAAAAACCTAAACGATGATCGGATCGGATCCGTTGACGATTGATGATGCAGGAGGGTTATGGTCGGGGCTAGATTTGTCCTCTGAAATATGTGACAAGATATCCGGCCTTCGACATTCATGGAGACGTCGAGAATCGAATATGCACCGCAATAGAGAAACTTGGAACGCAGACAACAACTTATAGATTTAGGAAGAACGGACGTGTGGACAGTACGGAGTTGAACGCGGCAAAAAAACACGCCGGAGCGTCCAAGGCGGCAGAAAGAAAAAAAAAAAGGACGACTGGCTGCTGCATCGAAACGTCACACACACATCGCCAGCCACGGCGGTGTGCTCTACATTCTGTACCAGCACTTCAAAGCAGGTTGCTGATGAGGAGATCGGAATAGATCACGCAGGTAGTTGAGGGGCTGCACCGGTTCATCCTGTGAAGAGGGTGATCAAGGACCCTCGCTTTTCTTGTTCTCTTAGAAAACTATACATACACAGGAAGACTACCCGTTAGAGATTCATCCGGAGCCGATGAAACCGCTTGTGGCAAAGTCGTGAGTTCGAATCCCCATGGGGTTGAAAAATGTACAACTTTGCGGGTGAACGCGACAAGAAAAAACTGAAAAGCTTTCGTGAGTACCAACCTTCGACGTTAGCACCATCGACGAGGGAAAGGGACGGCTGGACCCTCGCACGATAAAATAACAAATCTCAGCACGCACCGCAGGAGGAAGGTGAGGCACGAAGAAAAAAGAAGCAATATCCCATACGTCTAACCCCTCCTTGGTGACCCTGGATGGTTGTAGTTGTACGAAAAACTTCATTTAAAAGTGTACAACTCGATATACATAGACTACAGTGCATGCGACACGTCTCACCACGAAAAATGAGGGACCGTCGCCATAAAAAATGACGAAAGCACACACAATGTAACACAGTCAGTCGATATTTGTTTCTTGCTGTGTGCGAACGTGCGAACGAGATAGCCATACCTTTTTTCCACGAGATAGGGAGGGCGGGAGAGAGAGAGAGAGAGAGAGAGAGAGAGAGAGAGAGAGAGAGAGAGAGAGAGAG